TGCTTTTATCTGGTACCTTAGTGTACGCTCTTCAGTTACTGATTGGAACTCCCTTGTAACTAGGTTGAAAAAAGATTTTCTTCCCCCTTATTCCGATCATGAAATCTGGGACAGTATAAGGCAAAGAAAACAAAAGAAAAATGAGTCTTTAGAGAATCTTTTTAGTCGTTTGACTATTCCTGCGACAGAAGTCACTAAAGTCAAGTACGTTAAACGTAATTTACTACCTGAATATATCCATCAACTTGCATTACACCCTGTTGACTCAATTTCTACCTTAAGTAACCTGTGTCGAAATCTAGAGGAGGCTACTTACATTACTCCAGTTCGCATAATTCTCGGTTTAAAAATTTTAATTTCAAAAATAACAGGCACAATAACTTTCCTGGAAAATCTAATGCCAACTCCCAACCTTCAGAAGTGGTAGAACCTAGTACCTCTGCTATTAAGCCTAAACATTTTAATTCCAGGCATACTGTATCTAAAGAACAGGTCATTTGTTTTAATAATTGTCGTTTTCCTAACCATAACTTCCGTTCCTGTACGCTCAAGTGTAATTTATTTTGTTTTCGTTGTGGTGAACCAAACGTTTAAGTTAGTACCTGCCCAAAATGTTCACAAAACTAGTTTATGCAGTGCCGTACCGTGGTCGTGACACTCCAGTCCAGTGAAAAATACCACTTTATCTTCCAATGGTTATTTTGACTCTGAAGACTGGAAAATTTGGCTTTCTTTTGTTTCTAATTTTCATAAAAAACCTATAACTCGTAATGAAGCTCTTCCTCTCTTTGTTAATAAATTGTCGGATAATAGACCGTATATTTCTGTACATATTCTTGATTATGAAATAATTGCCTTACTTGATTCAGGTGCTACTAACTCAGTGATTGGAGCCGAGGGTTTGGAAATTCTCAAGTTCCTTAAAATTAAAGTTTCTTCTGTTTCCGATAAACAAATTTTTACTGCTGACGGTACGCAACAAGATGTAAGCGGTGTTGTCGATTTGCCAGTCTTCCTTAATAATTCCTGCCAATTTCTTAAAGCCCTTGTAGTACCTTCAGTGACTCATCCATTTATTTTTGGCATTGACTTTGCCAAGAAATTTAATTTAATTTTGAATTTCAATGACAATACTTGGGAAGCTCCTGCCTCAGGAATTAAAGTTCATAACGTTCCAAACGAGATAACCAGGTCCAGATTTTCCTTCAAACAACTTTTTTCATTAGAGGATTTTACACCTCAAGACAAAATTAATGCACAAAAGGTTATAGATTTATTCCAGGAAGTGATAGACTTGGTAGAACTAATAGAATTAAGTTAAATATTGATACTGGTGAACACAAGCCGTTTAAAAAGAAACCTTACTTACTTTCACCCCATATGCAAGAAATTCTCAATAAGGAGCTTGAATCCATGTTACAGTTAGGTGTCATTAGCGAGTCACAAAGTCCTTGGTGCTCCCCCGAGCTACTTGTCAAAAAAGCCAATGGTGAGTATAGATTTTGTTTTGATGGCCGTTTTATAAATGAAATAAGTAAGCATGATTCTTACCCTCTTCCTCATGTAGATAGAATTCTGAATAATCTTAGGAACGCTAAATTTATCTCAGCGATAGATTTAAGGAAAAGCTTCTGGCAAATTCCTTTAGATGAATCTTCGAAGGAGAAGACTGCTTTTTCTATTCTATTCATTTAATGTTGTACCTTTTGGACTGTGCAATGCTGCACAAACTCAACAGAGGCTAGTTGATGCCATATTTGGTCCTAAGTATGAACCATTTATTTTTTCTTATCTTGATGACATTTTAATTTGTTCACCTACATTAGAACTTTATCTGGAGTTCCTTGTTACTGTGAAAGATCTCCTCAAGCAGGCAGGTCTTACCGTGAACTTGGAAAAATGTAACTTCTTCCAAACTTATTTTAAATACCTCGGGTTTATTGTTGGAAATAATTCATTGGCTACAGATCCTGCTACGGTTGAGAGTATGGTAAATTACCCCCGTCCCAGAACTACTACTGAGGTGAAACGATTTATTGGAATGTGTTCGTGGTATAGGAGGTTTATTAAAGATTTTTCTTCTCTCGTTCGTAAGTCCCATAAACTCTCTTTTAAAGGGCAAAAAAGAAAAAGGAATCCATCTCTTGGACTCATGAGGCTGAAAGCGCTTTCAATTCCATAAAGGAAAAATTAATTTCTGCTCCTGTTCTTTTACAACCTGATTTTTCTCAAAAGTTCGTCGTTCAAGCTGATGCTTCAGACATGGGTCTTGGTGGAGTTCTCACCCAAAATGTTGATGGAGACGAGCGTGTCATAGCGTATGCCAGTTGTGCTTTGTCCAGAGCCGAATGTAACTATTCTGTGACCGAGCGTGAATGCTTGGCTTTCATTTTCAGTATTGAAAAATTCCGACCGTGGATAGAGGGCGTTAAGTTCACTTGTATTACCGATCACTACAGTCTTCTTTGGCTTAATAATTTGAAAAACCCTTCCGGAAAACTCTCTCGTTGATTGATTAAATTCCGGCAGCATACTTTTGATTTGGAACACAGAAAGGGTGCTCTAAATGTTGTTCCTGATGCTTTAAGCCGCATCCCTTATTATTTTTCTAGCCCTGAAATTTCAGATGATCCTGTTTTGCCTTCTACTTCTACTGCTGCCGAGATAGAGGTTTCTGCATTATCTTTCGACCTTTCTTCTGTTGATTCTTGGTACTCTTCCTTACATTCAGAAATTCTGAAAACTCCTGAACAGTTTCCGCAATGGAAGGAAGGTGGCACATCAGATGGTTTTTAAGTTCATCCCCATAAAATCCTTTTTTAATTTCAGTGCTCGTGAGTGGAAAATTCTAGTTCCTAAATCTTTTCGACATCAAGTTCTCGAAAATTATGACAATCCACCTACTATGGCGCATTTTGGTTTTCGAAAAACTCTTTATCGTGTGCAGGAATCATATAATTGGCCTCATATGCGTTCAGATTTCTCACGGTTTGTGAGGAAATGTCTAGTCTGAGGAGCTCAAAAGCCTTCCAATCAACCTAAACCTGGTTTCATGGGCAAGGAAAAGGTTGTAGATCGTCCTTTCCAGATTACTGCTTTGGACTTAGTCGGTCCTTTCCCTCGTAGCAAAAAAGGTCACAAGTTTCTCCTAGTAATTGCGGATTGGTTTTCTAAATTCACCTTGATTTTTCTTCTTCGCCATTCCGAGTCTCCAGCCATTGTCAAATTTCTCAAAGAGAAAGTTTTCCTTAATCATGGAGTTCCTGAGTATCTTATTAGTGACAACGCTCCAACTTAGTGAGCAGTTGCTTTAAAAATGTTTGTAAGGAGTTTGGTGTCAAGATTTGGAATACTCCGTCTTATTCTCCCCAGTGTAATTTTGTCGAGAGAATCAATAAGACTATTGGTACTGCCTTCCGTTGTTAAATTGAAAAACATGAGGAATGGGATAACAGAGATCAGACAGGCAATTAATACTTCAGTTCATGAAGTTACCGGTTTCCCTCCTTCTTATCTCAATTTCGCTCGTCGTGTACCTCTTTCTGGTGATTTTTAGGAGGACAAGCCTGATGATGGAAGAGTTGAGGTAACTCCTGGTGATAGAGGCACTTATGCAGAAGGACTCACCGATTTTCGTAAAATATTTTCTGAGGTTCGTCAAAAGCTTCACTCAGCTTATGAGAGGAATAGTAAATCCTATAATCTTCCTAGAAGACCTTTAAGTTCCAACGTTGGTGACCGAGTTTGGCGTCCTAATAAAGTGCAGTCGAGCGCTACGAATCAGTTTGCGGCTAAGTTAAGTCCTAAGCGAATCCTTAGTGTTGTTTTCAAAAAAAATCTCTCCTGTTACCTATGAATTAAAAAATCTTGATGGTTCAAAAGCTGGCAAATGGCATATAAAGGATTTATTATCTTGTAACGACAGTCCTGAAGTATCAGAAGCTGACTCGGATTCTGTTACTTCCGGAGAGACCTAAAGTCTATTCGCTTCAATTTTATCGTTTCGTTACTTTTGTTTCGTAAATATCTTATAAGGACTCTAAATTTACTCCATTTTTATATTACGGGTGATGACCCAAACTTCAACTTAATTCCTAATTTATACTTTATCTTATCTTTTATCTACAGTTCCAACCATTGCTTTACATTGCAAAGCTCAGCTGATCATAGTAAAGCCTTGTCACATGCCAAGCTTTATTCCCTTCTCTTTTGAGTTTTTTTAGTTTTTTTATTTTGTTTAAAGCTGAACAGCCTAACAGACATTAAATTTGCGTTAAAGTTGCAAGGAGTATGAAGCTACCGTAATACATTGTCGTGGGCAAAGCATAATTGCTTAGCAAGACATTTAAAGAAGCGTTAAAGTTAGTTATATCCCGTGAGAACTCCAATTCAGCATTTATATTTTATTCTATTCAGCTTATTTTTTATATTATAAAAGGAGTAATTTTTAGTTTAATGAATAAACAAAATTTGCATGAAATACACTGTTCCTTTTCTTATCTGGACACATGCACACAGCCTCCTCTCCTTGATTTATTTATTCACTCAATTTTCCATTGTTCTGACGTCAAAAATTGACTTTTTTGTAAAAAAAAAAAAACGTTGATACTGTCCTGTTTCTAACAAAAATTAATAAGTCATTTTACCAATATCATTTTTTCTTAGCATTGAATCTTGTTATTTTTTCCGGAAGTATTCGGAATATCCTGAATATAAAAGCGGCATTTTGTTAAGCATCGAATAACGCAGCTTAATCCCAATTTAACCAACCCTGTATCTCTCACCGTTCCCGAGATCCCAATGATGTGGCTCGAGTTTGAAACCACAGCAATTACAATTGAAATGAAAAATACTTCACCACCTTATTGTGCAGAGCAAAAAATATCAAATTCGAGAGGATAACCCGAGATCAAATTATATTAACTAGTAAACTTTAAAAAAGAAATTCAGGAGAAGCTATGCAAAAAATTAATTGTACTCAGCGCAACTTAGTAACTTACCTCAATGCTGCTTGATTGACCATATTCTCCAAATCAGCCCCTGTAAATCCTGTTGTGCCTCGAGCCAACAGCTCCAAATCCACGCCTTTGGCCAATATTTTGCTCAAATACAAGCCCAATATCTCTTTGCGACCTGTATAATCGGGTGTAGGCACAGTAACCTATAGGATTTTTTTATTCATTTATATTAATAAATATACAATCATCAGATATTGACAGAACCTTACACAATAAAACAAGCCAAAACCCCCACACAGATTTGAAGTTCCTCTGTATGGAGTGAAATTCATAATATTGGAAAAATGCCACACTTCTTCGAGTATGCTTCCTTTATTAAAGCTGGGTTTATTAAATATTTTTAAGTTAGAGTGCTAGGTTTCCTTTTGTACTGTGCACTATGAAGTCGTGGAATTGTACTTTGATATTTATTATGTTTTTTAAGAGTGAAACTCTTTGTTTCGATAAACACATACTGTACATTTGAATGTGTATATTGATGTCTGGTTTTTTTATTCCCATAAAAATTTGCAATTTTTTGCCAAAAAGGACTTACCTCAACATCAAATCTGCCTGGTCGTAGAAGGGCCTGATCCAAATCGTCTCTGCGGTTTGTGGCTCCCAAAACAATGACGCCTTCATTTTGATGAAACCCGTCCATTTCGCTCAATAGTTGATTGATTGTTTGATTAGCGTAAGGATGCAGGACGCTATTAGTTCTTTTGGAACCTACAGAGTCAATTTCATCAATGAAGATAACACAAGGAGCGCGATCCTTAGCAGCCTCTATAATAATTTACAAAAAAAAATACATTAAATTAGATAATGAAACAAATGTCAATATATTGATATTTAAGCTGGATTTATACAGCAAATAAAATAAAATAAGATAAAATAACAAATAAGAAATAACAGTTAACCTAATGAGATACCCTTAAAGTGTTTATACAGAAAATAACAAATAAAATAAGAAATGCATTAGCTATATGTATTTGATATTTTATCTTATGTTATCTTATTTTATTTTATTTGCTGTATAAATCCACCTTTATTCTTTGGATTGTCATCTCGTTTCCTAATTCCTCAATTATTTTTGTGGCAAAATTATGCCTATAGACTCTAGAAGCCAAGTACGCTCCATACATATTGTCAGGGATGTACCCATGGTAGGGGGGTTGGGGGGGAGGGATTGCGACCCCCTCCAATCTTATCGAAAATTGTAGTAGTTGGGAAAATTGAAAGTAACAAAAGCAAGATAATAATTTCTATACATATTACCAATGGATATTATTATTCCATTTTCGGGGACGCCGGAGGGGATTTTTTAGAGTTATCAGTGTTTTACAGCATGTGCCATACACACATTATTTTTTTCAAGGCTAAAAACAAACGTTTTTGTTGTTTGCGTGGTACAGTATGCCCCTGCATATTGTTTTCTCAAATCACAACACAATAACACATCAAAACCATTCACATTCAAGTATGAACGACGTTGATGCTCCCTTAAAAAACACAGGCAAGTCTTGTCTCTCTATCTATCTGTCGGGAATCTGTTAACCAGTAATAGTATTTTACATTATTAGCCAGGTAAAACAGTTTTTACTGGCGATTGAAGGAAATGACTAGCGAGCCGTCAGGCGAGCTTGTCACCTTCAAGAGCCAGTAAAAACGGCTACCTGGCGTATAATGTACAATAATTTATTTTGAAAAAATGTAGGGACAAATAAAAAATTGATACATAACAAAGTTTTAAAATTTCTACATTTTTTCCTTGATTTTTTTTCATACAATAATAATAATAATATTTATTTAAATCAAATACAGTGGGTTATAATAATTTTATCAAACTTAAATAAATATATGGGAAAGTTATGACTTAAATTAATTTTTGTAATTAGTAATATCAATGCGTATTCTAACCGCAATTTAACTATTTGAAGTTGCTTAAGATTAAATCTTGTCTGCCACTTCAAATAATCAATGGTGCTACGAATCGCTGTAATACTTCATACAATAATTGAAGAAATTAAACACAGTAATAATTTTATATAATTTTGTATAAGTATATAAAGTAAATCTTAATACTCTATCTATAATACCAGACCACAATTCCAGGCGAGATGCATTTTGAAAATGCACAACACTCAAATGCGCAGGACATAGTTAATGCTTTTGGCACATTTTTTTCACAGCGTCTACACTGAGTCCGTTCCAAGCTACGGTGAGTCAATTCCATTATGTAATAGTAACATTGACTTACCATTTATTGAATTAAATGATATAATCAGAGCGGGTAAAAGGCTCAATAACAAGTTAACTGCGGGAGCGGACTCTATACCAAGTTTTATAGTTAAAGATTGCCTTGGTGTTCTGGCTGACCCTCTGCAATTTATTTTTAACCTCATCCTTAAAACCAGCTGTTTTCCTTCAAGATGGAAAGTGGCAAAGGTAATTCCAATCCACAAAAAAGGCGATCGCTCATTAATAACTAACTATAGACCTATATCATTACTCTGTAATTTCTCTAAGATTTTCGAAATAGTTATACACAATAAACTTTATCCATTGGTTAGGGGCTTGCTGTCTGAGGAGCAACATGGCTTTATGAGTGACCGGTCAATCCGGTCATGCATGTCCAACTTGTCCTGTTTATCCCATCATTTGTGCACTACTTTGGACAGTTTCGGCCAAGTCGACGTAGTATACACCGATTTTCGTAAGGCCTTTGATCGTATTGATCACTATATTTTGACCAATAAGTTGCACGCCTTGGGCTTTTCGGATAGGCTGGTGAATTTGCTTAAGTCTTACCTGTTGGATAGAAGTCAGTTTGTACAGTGTGAGGGCTTCAGATCATTCCTATTCAATTCCTCATCTGGTGTCCCGCAAGGGTCTAACTTGGGCCCTTTCCTCTTTAACATCTTTGTAAACGATCTTATTGAGACACTGCCTTGTTCGAAGCTTGCATATGCCGATGACCTTAAGCTTTTTGCCACAGTTACTACTACCCAGGATTGTATTACGTTACAGTCGTGCCTGGATATTTTGAATGATTGGTGCAAGGAAAACAGGCTTCTTTTGAATGTTGAGAAGTGCAATATAATCAGTTTCCACAGAAAAAAAATTCCTGTTGTATTTGACTATACCATTGAAGGTACTATATTGGCTCGGCTCAATCAAATCAAGGATTTAGGAGTGATATTCGATAGCCGTTTAACTTTTGTACCTCATGTTGACGCAACAAGTGCATCAGCCCTCAAGACGCTTGGCTTTGTTTTCAGAAACAGCAGACATTTTTCAAATCTATTCACCTTTAAACTTTTGTATTACACTTTTGTAAGGTCAAAGCTTGAGTATGGTGCAATTGTGTGGAGTCCTATATATGATTGTCATGTTAAATCTATTGAAACTGCCGAGAGACTATTTCTTAAATATTTGGCAGTTAAGGTAGATGGTGTTTACCCCCCAAGGGGCGTGGATCATCATCAGCTACTTGAGCGATTCAGCGTTCAATCTTTGGCCGACCGAAGAAAGGTTCAGGCAGTGAGGTTTTTATATAATCTCTTGCATCATATTATAGACTGCCCATACCTAGTCGCTCAGGTGTTGTTTCATGTTCCACGCATTTGGGGCAGATATAGTCGGACATTTCATCTGTGCACAGCTAGATCTAACGTCTTATCACAGAGCCCAGTGTATCTAATGTGCGCTGTTTACAATACTGTGTCGGGCGAATGTGATATTAATCATGATAGGCTGTCGCGGATTGTTGGTGCTCTTTCCATTGATTGATTATTAGCTTTAGGTTTCTTGCATTGGTGAAAAAAAATGTTTTTGTTTTTCTTTTGTTTGTTGCATTTATTATTATTATTATTATTATTTTTTGCTCAGTTTTTGTTATTTATCTATAATTTAGTGTGCTGTGGTGCACGATTTTCTATATAGTTTTTCTTTAAATTGTATGTGTTTTTTCCTGTAATTGGGTTTATTCCTGTTGGAAATAAAGGCTTATTATTATAATACTCCCATAACCTAACTTAAAAATTGATTCCCTTTTTTCATTTGTGTGAAAAATGGAAAATTTAGTTTTATTTTTATTCAATGTTAAAAGATTGTCAGCTATTTCTAAGTTTTCTGCTTCAAAAGTTTTAATTTCACTCATATCAAAAAATCTAACATAATTATCCATTTCAGTTTATTTATAGCTGTGTAAATGCTAGCTGTATATAAAAATTTAACTTATAAATAATTCACACGAACAAAAACAAGAATTGCAGTCGACTTGTACCTATATTGATTGTTGATAGAGAAATAGTAAATTGTTTATTTTTAAAATCTTTATCGTTTACTTGGTAGGACTATATTGGTACACTAATGATCGTTTTCTTTTCGTACGTCTCAGAGTTTTGGATTCGGGCCTTTCCACCAATGTTTTTATTTCCTTTTTCGTTGTTGATCCTTTGCGCGCTTTTGACGCGGTTGGATGAACTTGTGCAATATTGGAATCGATGTCAGTCTTCTCTGTTTCCTCTTCTATGTCTTCGTCTTCAAACACATCGTTTTCCTCTTTGTTTTTTTCTGCATCAACTTCAATCTGTTTCAAGTCCTCCGCGCTGTAACGTTCTCCAGCAATAAACAGAAAATTACCTTTGATGTTTGCTTCCAGGTTCTGGGCCTTTGCATTTTTCAAATGTTTCCTTAGAACTTTTAATTCATCTTGGTCCTCTTTGCATAAATCATTCGTAATTGACAGGCCGTGTTCTCTCAAAGTCTGTAGCTTCTCTTTATTTTGAAATAATGTGTTTGTTTTTTAAGAAATGTAACAAACTGTATTACTATAGGTTGAGTTGCAGACTTTCCGATCTGGTATACATTATTTATATCGGTGTTGGTGATGTTAGTTTCCAGGTATTTATTCAAAGTGTTGAGGGTATGGTCCAGTAAGTTTTCTTTACTGCTGTTTAATCCAAAGAGAACAATGTTATTTTTTCTTTGGGATCTTTCAAGGGCAAGATAATTTCTGCCTAATTTGCTTACGTTTTCTTGAACAATCTCTAATTCAGTAATAAATTTTTGGATATTGAGTTTTTTGTTCTTTTTGAGTTCTAAAGTTTGAGATTTGTTCGCTTCCAGTAGTAGATTGAAGAGTATGGTTTGATCCGCTGGTAAATTAGAAATGTTCAACGCCATTTCCAATACCTACAATATCTCAATCTTCATTCGTTTTTTAACCACTGGTGGTCTGGTTCTGCCGTTGTGTAGATATAAATAAAGCGATAGAAAAGGTGTGATTTGTTTATCGACAAAAAAATCATTTGCAAAATTGTACCTTAAGACGTATATACATACGTATCACCCACACAAAAACTCATTTAACACGTAATTGGGTTACGATTTTCAGGATTTTTTTCCGTGTGAGGTAACCATAAGCACTCCACTGGATTCCTAGATAAATTTGGGAATTTTACTCGCACTTTTTCCACTGGAAACACTCGATTTCGACGGACCGATATTTCACGTACGATTTGGACGACTTTCGACATATCGAATAACGACAATACAAGCCTTGATAGTTGGTATACCTATAATAACGAGATGTTGTTAAGTTGTTGTTTCTAGTTATAAACAGGTTTTCTGAAAGATTTGCATTTTGAAACTTTTTTCCAGAAATGAATGTGCCAGAAGATATTATTAATGAAACTACAGTCGTAGCTAACAGTTTATCACCAAATATGTCTTCCAGAAGGTACCTACAAGCAAATATTTTTGTGATAAATATGATTTTT